AAAAGACAACTGTATTAATGGCATCCTTATCCATATCATGTCCTCGTCCTCAGTGACGGGAGGGTTTCGCAGGTGTAATGGATCATCTCTAGGAATAAGTGGATCTACATGTCGAACAAGAGGATCTTGTAGTGAGATCGAATTATCTATAGTAACAGAAGGTCGAGTAGCTCGCCTTTGGCCAGACCATGGCCTGGCCTAGACCTCTAGCAGCACTCATCGAATAAATATACAAGGCTCTACAGAAGAATTTGAACTTAAGTTAGAAGCATCAAGAATTTCAATATATTTAAACTCATAAAATAAGGTGGCAAATTTTTTGAAAATATCAAAAATATCTTGAAAGTCTAGATTTAGGACACATCCATAATCCTTTGTTTAAAATTGAAAGCTCTGATACCACCAGTTTAACCCCTAGACCCGACCTGACGTTATGCCCAAATCTAGGTGGTTATTATCTTATTCAAAAATTTCTTTTTATATTAAAAAATGTTCAAATACATCTAAAGTATAATATGAAATTAGTCATAAGAAAAATTTACAATAAATGTTCATATATTAATATATCATGTATCAGAAAAATCGTATAAAACATACATAGAAAAATACCGATAGTCATATATCAAGACGGAAGCAAAAAAAGTGTCACCAAAGTATAACAAAAAGTATATAGAGATATACATTGATACAAAAATAGGAGTAGTCGGTCCTTCTGATGCCAAGTCTTCTAACCTACGATTTGCTACTATATGAAAATGTTAAATTTACCGAATGAGCTAAAAGCCTAGTGTGCTCCTTACAATGTATAAAAACATACAATACTTCAGTAAAATCAATTTATCAAACATGTTTTAAACTATGAACACTACCCCCATCCGATCACCAGAATTTGTGTAGGTTCCCCAGAACCATGCACCCACATGTATTCCTGGTAAGGGCTTTATACACATAGCTTAAAGAATTACCATGAGCACAAAGCTGATGAGCAAGCAGAAAGGACTTACCCTGAGCATAAAGCCAAGGAGTTTGCGGTAAGGACTTACCCTAAGCACAAATTCGAGGAGCTACGGTAAGTACTTAGAAGTCATAAACTAGGCCCGAGATACATCCTCCAGTAATATCCCATTGACAATAATAAACATGTATGTATTCAAGTGAAAACAATAGTTTAATTCAGTAAAACATGAATATTCCAGACTTAGAAATCAGATACAAAATATAGAAATCAGAGATCATGTCAGAAATGTACAGTAAATTAGATATTATATAAACATTATTAGAAAATTAGGTATCATGTCATAAAATATTCAGTAGTATTAGAAATCTAAATAGTTCGATGAACAGTTTAGAACTATAATGTAACACCATCAGGAAACACACATGTACCGATCTGAGTAGTCTGATAAGCGAGCCTACTACTGAGTCTATCGATCACGATCAGTGGTAGCGCTAGATCATAATCGTAAAAATCCATACGGAATAATATATAATAACAATAATAATAACCCCTATTTAAACAATTTATAGATACATACAAGTAACTCTCGAGGAACGATAATTGTACGGATCTGACGGACGGGAAACTAACTGACCTTTGATGGGTGAAACAAGAGTACCTTCATAAAAATATAATCTCAAATCAATTCCAAAATTAAATCCCAATTAATAAACAAAAATTCTAAAAACTAAGCATTTTCGGATTAAGGCTTGATTTGGGGCTTTTGGATCAGAATTTGAAAAAACGAAATGCAAAATCAAACTTAGGACGTCATCAAAACGTCACGATAGAGGTTTTAAAAAAAAGTCAACGCCATTCAACAGTCTACGGTCAATGGTCGGTCAACTGTCAATTGTCGGTCAATAATCAACTATTGATCAGTCAGTTCGGTCGAGTTGGATCGGGTTGGGTTGGGGAGGGGGTCGGGACGGGTCGGCCCATTATCAAGCAGTCCACTAGGCGGTAGAACTGACCCATGTGAGGTGACGCGTGGGGCGCGTGCAGAGCCTTCGGGTTGGAAAATTATAGAAAAATATTTAGTACTTTAAGGGGTTTTAAGATACTTACCAAGCTTGTTCAATAGTGAACAGTGAAGAGCTTGATTTCGAAACGTTGAAAACTTTATCTTCCTCACCCCCTCTCACGTCGGCGACAACGAAGACAAGTTAGACACCGGGGACTCGGGACAACGCAAGGAATACGATAGTGAGGTGTTGAAAACGGAGCAACTGTCGACGACAAAACGACGATTGAAATTTCTTGCTAAAAGAGGAATCTTGAGAGAGAAAATAAGGTTTCCAAATCAGAAAGCTTTCTAAATTTGAGGTTATATTCCCTTAAAAAGGAAATGGTAAATTACACTCTAGGTTCTCCAATTTTATATTTTTTGAATTTGAATCCAAATTTAATCAAAATTTCACTTTGACCCCCAAATTTAGTTAAAATTTCAATTTAGTCCTCGAAAGAATTTTAAGAAAATTTTTAGGCCCTAAGTTGGGATATGACAGTATCACCAACCACTATTGTATTATAAATAATCAATGGTAACTTTTTTCTTCTCAAGTTCACTGGCGTTCGACAATTATTACGGTTTTGTCTATATTTAAAACTAATTCGGATTAATTTTTTTTATTAATCTAAAGTGATTACAAGTTATAGTACATGTTCAAATGACTCTCAACCATTTGATAATTAACACTTAAATCATGTAATCACTAGTGCTCGAACTCAGGACATCTACGGATAATAACAATTCTTTTAATCATTAAGATAGCTTGATTTGTACATTTAGATTGAATATGAAACTCATCATTGTTGATCAACCCACCGTAAGTTGATAATCAAAATCAAGTGATAGTTATTGATCCACACTCTATTCATACACATCAAAAGTGCTAACAAAAATTGATTTAGTTTTGCTCGCAAAAACTTAATTTTGTAATTGTTATAAAATAGAACCGGTGAGATAAAATTCTTTTAAAAATTTACTTTGTTTTAACTTATTGTGTGATCTTAGTGATTAAAATGGAGTGTTGTTTCCCTTTGAGATCTTTAATTTGAACAATTGTGTTTTTAGGGTGTACGTGTGTCAATATTTAAGAAATTATGAACATTATATCCTGTAATCATCCCATACTATTCGATTCCCAGATTGGAGCAGTTATGTGTGGGGTATGTGTACATTATTAATGGTTAAAAATATAAATAAATATTATCTTATAATCACTTCAGATTATTAAAATAAATTACTTTGTTCTAAATTGAATTTGGAACTGAGCATTACCTTCTTTGCTCTCATTAAACCATTAATTTAAGTACTTTGATTATCATGAGTAAATCATTCTATGTAATTGAGTTAATTATGACCCAAATAAAGGTAAATCCAAGGAAGAAATTAAATCTATCATCATGTGACAAAATCATGATGATTTGTATCATGAATTTAACTATAACAACCTATTACATTTATTGATCATGCAATTACTACATTTCATAAATAAAATAATAAGATAAAAACATTTTTTATACTCGGATATCCACACACTTTCCTTACAGAGGATATAATTACAATCAACGATCAAAAGTAGATAGTTCCTTTACCACACATATCAACATAAAGAACAAGTAAGCTCAAAGGAGGCAGGCTAAGTTTAGTTCCTTTACCACACATATCAACATAAAGAACAAGTAAGCTCAAAGGAGGCAGGCTAAGTTTCAGGCGATCGACATCGATTTCAAGCACAAAATTTACAAGATGATCTGCACATTAATTCATTTATAAGAAGACATAGAATCTCCATGATCCAATCTTAGCTAATCAATCTCTAGCAGTCCAAGAAAAGAGTATTAGGTGAATGTTCACCGACATAAGGTTTATTGAGGAAGCGAACGACCGAACTTGTATCAAGTTGAAATAAATAACCTTCTTTTATATATCTTAAGTAAATATAAGGTAGTATATATTCAAATAATCTCAATCATTTGATAATTAATGCTTATAACACTGCATATGCGGTACTCGAACCCAAAACCTTAAGGAATAACAATAAATTTCTTAACTATTTGACAATAAATGCTTATATATTGGTGCTCGCTTCATATCCTTTGCTAAAAGTATTCCTTGAAGAGCACCACATATTTCAGCTTATAGGTTAGTATATTCTTTCTAAATTGGATTTGGTTAGTATATTATACTTAAATAAAAATCAATCAAATAAATTAAGTTAAAATATTTTTGGATATATTAAAGCACCAAATCCAACTAGTATTAATGCTTCCAGTTGGATATTTTTTAAGAAAATACTTAAATTCATTAGTTGAAAATGATATTACTCATGACAATGTCTCTGATACAAGACGAATAATCTAGTCAAAATATAAAGACAAACAAGTAGAGGCATAAACAGCAAGGTCGTGCGCAACACAATTAGTAGATCACGGAACACATTGTATGCCGATGTGGGATAAGACTCCAATAACCTGTTGGTTTCAGTAAGATATGGATAACCCAATATTCGTACTATTTGCATTACTAACCAATTCTACGTGAATGGGTCTAGCTCTTATACTTGCTCATCTTTCTATTGTACGTCTAGTTTTCTGGTGTGGGGATTTTTAGATGACATCCATGTACGTAGCTACTTTATGCCACACTTGAGATGATAAAATCTTCTTTTGATTCATAATGGTAGGTTTGAATTGTATGATGAGATTTTCTTCCAATCATAATTGCTTTGTATATAATTCTGGAAATACACATTTTCAAAAGATAGTGCTGATGTTTGCACATTGGGTCCCACCCAACAACAATCCGAATGGATTTAACGTTGTCATGGAATTGAGTTCAACACTATCTAACATACATTCCTTTTTTTTTGGAGTATCTAACATACATTCTTTTGGCTTTTCGTGGGGTAATAATATTGTCCTCTTATAAAAGAGGCAAATCCTTCTTCGTACTCTACGATTAAAGTTATTCCCTAAGTAAGTGGAGTGGCATTAATGATTGTGAATTTGACTCGAACTTTATTCATAGATAATAGGCACACATGTAACACAAACTTTATGCCACATACACAGATTTGAGTCAAAATCGGAAACATGCAAATGAAGTACTGCAAGGGAAACACAACACACAAAAGAGAATCAAATGCATGCGAAGACAACGATCACTTTATAAACACCGGCGAATTCTGGAGAGTTCCGACACACACACACAAGTAACTGCAAACGATGAAAGTCACCTTTTCATCCCTCCTTCGGTTTCCGGCGCCATCGTTATGCCACGGTCACTTTTTTGCCTACGCTCTACATTCTCATCCCATCCTGAAACACAACATATTTCGTGTCCCATAACCAAAACAATTTGGATTACATATTACCGAATATTTTTTTTTTGCATAATTAACCTAGTTTCATGTCGAATCCTTGATTTCTGAGCTCTCGATACTCCTGGCACAAGGCACAGTAGTGACAGAAACAGTGAACGCAAAATTCGTTGCAAGGGCTTTGTTTCAACCCAAATTCCTCCCTCATCTTCCTACGATAGAAGCAGCCACACAGCACCGATGGGAAAAGACCAAGTACATGATGTACTAAAACATACAGTAGACAGCTTTCGCAAAATGCTGCAAACAATGTTTCGATACCCTCAAATCAATCCATATATATATATATATAATATGTATGCCTATATAGTACTTTCTCTTAGTCATAAAGCATACTTACAAAGACTTCCTTTGCTTATAATGGAAGAATTCCTACCGAAAGTAATACAGGGGCAGAAGGTTGTCAAGCAGCCTGTTCAACACAGAAAAATGGAGGATTCATTTATACATATACGTGCATAATTATTAGTGATTCCTTTGGAATACAGGAAGATGGAAGTTTTAAGAGCATGTTACGAACAGAGTGAAACATCAGAGAAGCAGTCGCAAAGACCAGTGGACCACTCTGCGCCATGTTTGGAGCTTGACATTTTCTTACGTATCCTGGTAGAAGCACAAATTAATGTTTTTTTGGGTACGTTGGAACCATAAACAATAAATAAATAGATATGTAGAGAGAATTTAAAACTAGAATGGAAAAACCTTTTATCCCACTATAGGGCTTGAAGGAATGCTAAACAGAAGATATAGTTGTCTGACAACAAATGAAATGTAGGGTGGTATATATAGACCCACAAATGAAAAGTAAATTCTGTCATATGTTCATATTTGGGACAATCCCAGCCGTTGAAAGTAGAGAGATAAAAGGGAAACTAAATTGAGTTCGTCCATTGTCCTCGTGGACAAAGATGTAAGATTGCTAGTGTAAAAGGGTTCTTCAAAAATTTTATCATGCTGCTCTTGTTTGTATTATATGGTCCATGGAACTTAAGTCATTCCTACGTAATGTCCATGACATTTTGTAGGGTGAAATTGGTTGTTGGAGAACTACATCTTGAAGTTAATTAAGAGTTTATTTTATCATCATATTACAGGTTTAATTGAAGTGATAATTGTGTTTAAGCGAGCTCAAAGTCACAAACTATTTAATATCGGCATATCAATTGAATTAAAATTTAGTTAACAATAATTATTTAAATAAAAAAATATCAAAAATAAAATAATGTGAATGTCTCCAACAGTGGAAGAAACAGTTACTGGGGCCTGTTTTGGTAGCCAAGTTTCTGGGCGTTAGACCATACAAAATTGCAATAATGCTTCCATCTTTGTTTCTTAGTGCCCCACCACTCACCATTTATGACACGCGTCGACGCCAAATTTAAGTAAACAACCCCACCGTAACTCTAATGTCATGTCTAAGGATTGGTGACAATTTGGTTACCCCACCAAGCACTACCACAAAAGTTGCTTCCTGTATTAAGTAGAAAAATAAAATAAAACCCAATGAAGGAGAAGTATGAAAACACTTATTATTGATAAAAATATATTATATATAAATTTAATTTATAAAATATTATAAAATATATTATTATCTGATTTATTAATAATATATTATATATACATTATTATATAAAATTTATTATTGATAAAAATATTAAAAATTAATTTTCAAAAAATTTCAATCGATATTTTTTAAGCCACTATAGATCATTGGTTGTGACGTTCATGGAGGAGCAACCATCCATTTTATTTATTATTATTATTATTATTATTATTTTGAACTTAACAGCCTTCCGTTTTAGTTCCGAGTTGGATCGGATTGTATTAGTTGATTGTTAATGATTTAGTAAGATAAAATATTAATATTTTAAGTAATATCTACCTTAGAGCTTAAATTTAATAGTATGAATAAGATATTAAATTATATACGTATATACATAATAGGGTTTTATAATACCACATTTGAATTAATTAATCAACAAATCTATCCAATAATTTTTAAAAAAATCCACTATTTCAGCAAGACTAGGCTTATATTAAACGGAAAATGAAACGGTCATATGTCCAACATTCATGCACAAATATTAAATAATTTGTTTAAACATCAGTTTATATGTATTTCTGTCTATTGAATTTTAATTTAATTGACATAATAAATATTATAACATCTAAAAAGATATAAATTTAAACATGATAAGTGCACATTATCCCTTAATTTAGAGGGATTTGAAAATTTAAACAATTTAGAAATTAAGAAAAAAATCAATTCCACAAACTATATCAAGATTATTTTAAGGAATAAATATATGTTCTTTTTGTACTTCTCTTCGAAGTTCAAAATGTTATGTAAACACCCATTTTTTTCTGGGTTGTTATTATTATTAATACTATTATTATTAATAATTATTTCTTATTTCTTTTTGCAGGCCCAAGCCAAAATACATCAAGCCCAATATAAGTGACCCAATATTACAAGATACAAGCCCAACAAGTCCAACATACAAAACCCTAGGGTTCATCAGCTCCAGTCGTCGTCGGTGCCAGAGCAGTTGTCGCCTCCGACGTCTCGTCGTCACTGTCACCGGCCACCTCAACAAATTTCATGTTAAAAGATCACCAAACCAAATCATCCAAATAAAATATATATAACAACTACCTACCTATTCCGGAAAATCCAAGAACCATCAACCCCTACTAACTAAGACATCATGCCTCCAAACTAGAGTCTCATTAAACCATCAAGGAGAATATAAAAAAGGGGAGGGAGATCGGATTCGGGGAGAGGGAAGACAAAGAGAGAGTTCGAACAAAAAAAGTGGGGGAGAACCATTAAAAAAAATTGAAAAAAAAGAAGAAAATAGGACACGAAAAGAAAAGAAAGGCTCTTACCTTGGTTCTGAGCACCCCAGGAAGCCAGAGGGTCATTAGATTTTAAAAATTCCGAAAGGTACTCCTTTAGATCTAGAGCTTGTTGTTTGGTTTTAGGGAAAAAAATGACTTTAGATTCAAGTTCGGGGAAAAATATAAGAAAGAAAATGAAGGCTTAGGCTAAATTTTACCCTTGGTTTTACTTATAGATGGACCAAACGACGTAGTTTTGGAGGTTAGAGTTTCTGAACTCTAGCGCCTGGGATAGCTCTGTCGTTGGTCATCCGAGATTTGTAACATTATTTCAGTCCTTAATTGAAACACGTGTTATTTTTTTATTTCGAGCTTCAAATTTCTTCCTTATTATATTTTAATCATTTTTACACTGTTAATCTTTTGATTAAATGCCTGATTTCGCTTATTAATTTGTGGTGTGTTTATTCTATTCCTTGCATTTAGTTTTAAATTTCATATTTGGGTCTGCCATGTTTGTTGTTTGTTCATTTAAACCATCATACTAAATTATATTGCCTATGTACTGCGTTTAGGTGTAATATATATATATATATATATATATATATATATATATATATATATATATATATATATATATATATATATATTGCATGATGTATGTAATATATTATATTTTTGTATTGACAACTGTCATCTTGATGTCAAAATAAATTTCTTCTTCTTAATTAATAATTAAAGGAATTGCGTAATAAAGAGAAGTAAGGGTCGATTCCACATGGACTTGGAAAATTCTAACTTTCTGTCTGAATTGTTTAAACCAGGCGTGAAACAGTAAAATGAGGGGATTTTGGTAAAATAAGATTAAATAGTAAAAAGTGATTAAATAAAAAAGGCAATTAAAGTGAAAATAAGAGAATAAAGATTATAAATGAATACGGTAAAAACACCCTCAAGCCTTGCTTTGACTCAATTTCCTTTAGATCATCGAATTAGATTTTCACTTCGGGATTCACGTCGGTTACTTTGTCTACAAGGGCAATCTTCGTGACTTTATTTTGTATACCGAATACCCAAGGCAATCTTCGATTCCGGCTTCGGAAACTGATCTGACCAACATCAATTGTTGTAGATCAATTACCGTTTAAGTTCGTAATGACCGACTCGAATTGTTGTTTCAATAACCATTAATTACGATCTCAATTCTCTCTTGGGAAGGTTATCTTGCCAAGTGTATTCCCAGCAAGTCGAATGTCCTTTCAATAAGCCGATAATTCCTCCCAAACGTTTAATCGCAACATCTTGAACAAAGTCAATCATTGACTTTGAAAACTATTTTGATTTTGAAAAATAAGCATAGAGATTGAGAGAGATATTCTAAGTTATAAGGGCATTTTTCAATTCTCCCGTTGGAATTGAGTCATCGCTTCAACTCTCGGCTTATGAGAAATTAGCTAAGCATGACTTTTACAAAAGTCATACTTAGCATTGTGAAAGTCATGCTTAGCTTATTTAAAACACAAAGCTTAAAACAACAACAACAACAACAAAACCCTATTCTCATATGCGATGGGTAAGGGGAGGTAGTATAGTAGGTTGCCCCCAACGCCAGGTGGATAGCAGCTTCCGTGGAAGACCTCCGACAGTCAGAAAATTTAAATAAAGATACAATACAATGCATGTATAAATAAATAAATATAAAATACATAGTTGAACAGTCTTCTTATATAGTCTTCATATGTGCGTCTGTAATGGGAAGTAATCCCTCAAACTTAAAAATAAAGTAAAAAAAACTTGAAAAATAAATAAAGAAGAGAACTTTTATAAAACCAGAAAGGAAAAAAAGATTGTAATCTAAGTTGTGAACTTAGCTTACCCCCAAGAGGGTATTTATAGCCTCTAAAAATCTAGAGATAAACAAAGAATTAAAATATAATATCCTAAAGATAATTGTTTTTCCTAAATTCAAACTTTAAACAAGTCTCCTAAAGCAAATATGCTCGTCTATCTTCCAGAAGGAGCGCTGACTAGATCTTCTAGAAACTGCCGCTGATTGGATCTTCTAGAAACTACCACGTCGGACAGTGTCATGCCCAGAGTCGTGCCCATGTTAATAATAAAAAAATGCAGAATGCTTCCTTTTTACCATTAATTCTGGAAAGTAAGACATTGCACGAAAATAAACATAACACAACCAAATCAGCATCAATAAATCCATAAGATCAAAGAATTAACGAGCAAATACTATCGATTCTGAACACTCATCTTTTATGCATGTAAAAAAAGTCATATTTTTAAACAGTATTATGCTTTTAATGTATCATGTATTCTTTTATTAGGTAATTTAATATATATATATATATATATATATATATTTCGTAATATTTGGAACATGACAGCTTGCTTTTTGAAATATATATTTTTTTACTTTACTTTTCCTATTAAATTCCTAATTTACAAGTCATATATGATGTATTTGGAATTGTTTTTTATGTCTATAAGTGTTATTTTTAAATGTATTTATGTATTTCGTGTGTATCCCACCTTTGTGCCTTAAATATACATATATATGCTTTTCAACCATGACCTATATTAATTGTTTCCATGTCAACTCTTTATGTCCTTGTTAATTTATGTTCTAATTTTTTATTAATGTCTAAGTGAATGTAAATATGTATGTAATATTTTTCTTTGTACATATAAGTTTAGGTTTTAATTTTAATTAATATGTATGATATCTTCCTCGTAAGCTTTATTGGATTCGAATTAAATAATGAGATTAAAAGTAATATCTTTTTATTTTAAGTTCATTATAAGTGATTGTCTTAACAAATGAAATGTCACTTTCAATAGCTGAAAAGAAAAGGGTATCCTATCAAGTGAAAAATAAATTTATTTCATTTAAAA